TAAGATAGAACCTTAAGGGACACCTATAATTAGGTGGTGTAATATGATATGGATATGAATCTAGCAAAGGAGGCTGAGAATGGATCAGACAGATAGAGCAGGTGGTTAAGAGGAGAACCAATGTAGAGACCAGTCCTGAAAATGCAGAAAGGTGAGTAGTTCCAGGAGAAGAATTAACAGTGTTAATGTTTCAGAGAGGATGGGGTTTACAAAGAATCCATTGCATTTGTCAGTACAGACAGTTGCATAGATTTTGGTTTTAAGGTTGAATATACTCATGAATATTATCAAGGTAGTATTTATATTAATTTATTAATATATACTATATTGGTCTTAATAAAGGAACATCTCCCTCCTTGCCTCCCAAATATGATTTGTATTAGACCTTGTACATTGTGGCCTATATTCAGTGTTACTTTTCGGAATATATTACATATATGTGCATGTGTGTATACAAACATTCATGTGTATATGCATATAGAAACATATATATGTGCATGTATACGTGTATATTTCTTTTTAAAGAAATATCATTTTTAGATGTACAACATGCCTATATATCTCATGTCTGAGCTTGTACCAAGACCTCTTCTAATTATATCCTTTGCCTAAAGACCGTATTTAAACTATAACCATTCTGTCCCCTAGGCACCTTTGTCTTGGCTCTAACAGAAGGCCTAATCAGTATGAAGCAGGCTCTCAATGCTTGGCCATTGCATCCCCAGGGCTTGGGAATATCTGCTTCAGCAGCTTGTGTTATTTAGAGGATGCTAACATTTCTTTCCCTCTGTGTACCTTTTAATAAAGCCTAGGCATACAAACTAGCCAGGAGTATGCTTTCTGTGTTAGACCATGTTACTTCTTTAAATGCAGTAGATTGAACCAAGATAACAGGGCAAACAACTCTTTGTCTCATGTGGTAACAGAGCAACATCCTAGTCCCTCCCTCCATGCAGGTTAAACTAATTTTCCCTTGACTAGTACTGAAACATTCCTCCAGCCTTGGTTGGCTCGGAGGACTAAGGGCACAGACTGTTGATGTCACTTCATCACTTGGGTACAAAGCAGTTCTGAGAAGCTAGAGGGGGTCCCTGATGCTTGACCAGTGGAACAAGATGAGAGATTTGCTCAGCCTAAGCAACTCAAAGGAGCTGCTTGTTGAATATCTTTCTCTTGCTTTAGCTAAATAAATCTCCTTTTGTTAACTGTTGAATGACCTATGAGTATCTCATTTTGTTCTAATACAAATCCTAAACCAGGAAAAGTGGCCTGAATTAAGTCCAGTCCAGAACAACCTACCATTATGGCTATTGGTCATGTACCCCAAGGGGATAAAAGACAGAAAAAGGGTCTTATATATACTATATGTGCATGCATATGTGTGTATTTATAAAAATGTATGTATACATGTATATATGCACGTGTGCAGTGCTTGCACATAATGATGTTATTGTTGTTGTTACATATTGGATAGGGCCTTTATGGAAGACGTATGGGAAGATATGGACAAGATTCACACAGGGTACAAGGGTATAAATGGGTTTAGGATTATTCTCTCAATGGGATATTTAAGTTGATGAGATAGTAAATCCACTGAACAAAAAGATAAATTATTTTTGTAAGGGGTAAGAGGTTGACATAAGCATTCATTCAGTTATGAGAGAAAATGTATGGATGGAGTAAAGAAGGTTTCTCTCACTTTCATTCTCAAGGAAGGATACTTCCCAAATAAAGAGTGGAATGAAGGAAAATAATGATTCCAATAGAGCAATGGTAAAAGAGATGTACAAGTCTATTTTGCCTATACATGCCTATTTTGCTTTTGAGTTTAGCAAGGAAAGTTTTGGAAGAATTGGAGGAAATGAGCAAAGTAAAAGAGTATGGAGTATATAGTTTTGAAAAAATTGGATGAGAATCTTGAACACGAATCATCAACTTTGAATATTCTTGACAATTGAAATTATTTACCATTTAAATGGTAACAAATAAATCTGACTGAATAATCCCTAGAGTTTTCCTATCTTCACTTATATGTAAAGTCTATACATCTAGCAGTTATTTCCCAGTTACAACTTAAAATGCATCTTAAGTCTCTGGAATCTAATATTTACATGCATTTGGATATAAATAATGGAATGTGACTGATTATTGCCAAATATTTATTTTGAGTTAATTATTTTTTACAAGATTACATAGCTACCACTATGAATGTACTTAAGATTGGGTGACAACTGTACAAAAAGAGTCTTATTTTTTCCAGATGGCATGATTTATGTTCAACTATTCGTAAAACATTTGAAATGAAAGATGGAAGCAGAATTATGAAAGTTGCAGTATCCATTCAAATAAGAATACAAGTTTCACTGGAGTTGCTATAGTAACAGTTTTCCTGAGAAACATTTAAAAATATGTTAGCTCAATAGGGGCCATGTCAAATTCAAGTGAAATTGGAAATAGTAAAGGGCTGTAATTTCAGGTGTTTTACAGGATGCACTGATTATAGAATGCAGGATATGCAAAGGGTGAAATAAAGAGTACGATAGAGTGTCTTGTACTTCTTGAGAGGCAGAGTGGCACAGCAGAGAGGGCTGGTCTGGGAATCATGAAGACCTGGGGTCATCTTATTTATGACATATACTGGCTAGGTAATCCTGAGCAAGTCACTTAACCTCTTAGTACCCCCAGATAATTCTCTAAGACTGTAAGTTATGGACAGGTGGCTGAAACACATCTTCAGAGGGAATTTCTATATAGGGACTGTCACAAACCATTGCACTTACAAACACAGATTTCCTACACCCCTACTTTGTCCCCCTTCCCCCCAAAAAACTTCTTGCATAATGTAAATATGGGTACATAGAATTTATGATGACAGTGAGTAGAGTGGTGGGCTTAGAGTCAGAAAGACCTGAGTTCAAATCTAGCCTCAGACACTGACTAGCTGTGTGATCTTGGGCAAATCATTTAACCTCTGTCTCAGTTTCCTCAACTATAAAATGGGGATAATAACAGTACTTACTTCCCAGGTTTATGAGGATCAAATGAGGTATTTGTGAAGTGCTTAGCATAGTGCTTGAGTGGATGCTATAAAAAGCTAGTTACTATTATTATTGAATATGTAGATAATTACTTAATTTTTCATTCATATTAATTACTGATTATACTAGATGGTTTATGTTGTAGAGTAATGGGTAATAAGGCTGGATAGCAAGGGTAACATCAGATTAAAAATGTCCTTGAAAACTAGACTGAGAATTTTTGACATGATGTGGTAGGCCACTTAGATTTCTTGAGCAAGATAGTTTCTTGAGATGACTGAAGTAATGCTTTGGTAAATTATTCTGGCAGAAGTATGGAGGATAGAGTGAAAGAGAGACTCAAGGGAGTGAGACCATTCAGGAAGTTGTTAGAAAAACTGAGTTGTGAGGAAAGGGGCAACTCATCTACTGTACTAGCTATACTAGCATTACCTAAATTCCAGTGACATTTTGAAGAAAGAGTTGATATGATAAGATGGCAGACTGAACATAGTGGATACATATATGGGAGAAATTCAAGATGTTGTCATATTTCCCCCTCATTTCTTCTCCTTGGAAAAAGTTGTGTAGTAAGTCTCAAGAAAAAAAAGCATATTATATTCTGTACCTGGGGGAGTTCAGACTTGAGAGTAAGAAGCATTCCTGAAGGGTAGGAAGAGAATACACAAGAGTTATTCTGGTTCCAAGAACACAGGGAAATTGAAGTCTTTCTGAACCCCCTTTATGGAACATAAATTTGTCTTCTAAAAATTTTGATGGTCTTTAGGTAATTGAACCACTGGGGACACAGTAGTTTCAAATTCAAGGAGACAGGAGTCTAGAACTTTCCAGCACTTAGCACAGTGCCTAACACATAGTAAGCGCTTAATAAATCTTTATCAATTGATTGACTGGCATGCTGGATAGAGGACAAGCCTTAAAACCAAGAAAATAAGGGTTTAAGGCCTGCCTCTGACATGCACTGACTGTGTGTTCCTGGGAAAGTCATTTCTCAGTGCTCTAGGAGAGTTACCAGCATTGACAGAGGGAGTTCACTCACCTGGGAGTTCCACATATTGATGAAATCACAGGTCCTGTCCCCATTCTGCTTAGGTGTTCTTTATTTATTTGAGGATTCAATTAAAAGGGATAAACTGTGTAAAATGATTTGCAAATTTTAACGGGCAATATAAATGTCAGTGATAATTACGATTACCTCTGTTACCTTAGGCGAGTTGCTCTACCTTTCGGAGGCAGCTTTAGCAGCAAAATGATGGCGTTGGTCTAAATTACCTCGAAAGTCCTTTGAAGAGGCCCCGGAATGAGCCTTCTACTACTATATCTTAATGATAACAGCAATAGCAATAATAATAACACCAGGTCAGGCTATGGGCAAGGTTTTAAACCTTAGCTCCAAATGGAAGGGATGGGATAGAGACCTTTCTCTGAAGCGGTTCAGAGCCAAGACTTGGGAGGGGCTGGTGGAGGTGGAGGGAAGAGTGGGCTGCTGCCGGTGGGCGGGGCTCCACGCCACGGGGCGGAGCCTAGAAGGGGCTGGGCGAGATGACCGGGAGGTGGGGGCGCAGGTGGGGCGGGGGGTGGACCTCCCCAGGGACAGAGCTGAGTTGCGCTGCGGAGAAAGAGGGGCAGGCTTGGGCCTCCGTCTCTTGCCAGGTCTGGGAGTAGTGGCATGGTCATGGTTAGGTTCAGGTTCCCGGCCTAGCGTGGGAATACGGGGTAGCCGTTATCCCTGGCAGTCTGGGATGGTTGCAAAGGGCGCGGGGTGAGGGGAGCGGAGTTGCCAGTGCAGGGTGTGGCTGCGGGGACTGAGACAGGTGGTGCGTGCTGCCCGGTGTTCCCTTTTCCCAAGGCGCACGTGTGGGTGTGCATGTAAAAGAGAGTGAGGGCGACCTTTCCCAGCCTTCCTTTGGTTGACCTTTCCTCTGTTAAACAAGCCGCACCTCCCATCCTACCCCCACCCCACTATGCTCCCTTGGAGCGGTGCCACGGTCTCCCAACTTCTGCCTCGCACGTGGACCTAGGGCAGAGTTCGCCCCTCCGGCCGGGTTTATTTTCCCTAAGGGGACGCCTCCCCAAAGTTTTATTGCCTACTCCAGTTGCACGGGGCTGGTGGGTTTCCTTGGGCTTTGTCATTTGGATTTTTAACGATCTGTCTATATCTTTTTCACTTTTGGGGGTCTTGGGGCACAAAAATAACCACTTAAACTTTCTCACCGGGGAAGAACGGGAGAAAAAGTAAGGAGTCCCAGAGCTGGGAGTCATAGCTTTTTCCCTAGAAAGGGAAAGAATGAAAAGTAAAGTTTGACTGTGTTTGAATGGATTTCAAACTTCCCTGGATGAAGCTGGCCTTAGCCTTCGTTCTCTCTCGAGGATACAAAGCCTTAGACAGGAAAGAATACACTGCAACTAAAGAGGCCTGGTCAGGAAGTTTCCTAGCATCCCATGACGCTGCCCTGTAGTAATTAAAAAAAATTTTCAAGACTAGTTTGGTGGTGTGGGAAGAGCTTGGGATTTGGAAATAGGACCTGGGTTCATAATGTGTCTCTGCTACTTTGGGTATTACTTCAAGTCTCTAGGAATCAGTTTCCTCCCCTATTAAATGAGAGGGAGTTGGAGTTTAATCTCCAAAGTCTTTTCCAGCTCTAAATCCGAGCTCGGGCCACAACATTCCCTCTTCTTGTCTTTGAATATTCTTCCACAGTGCCTGAAACATAGTAAGCACTTAATGCATGCATTTTCTTACATTCATTTGTGCCTGTAAATGCATTCCTTTCTCATCTCTGCCTCTTGGAATCCCCAGCTCTATTCAAAGGTCAATTCAAGTGCCACTTTCTATAGTAGGCTTTTCCTGTTATTTTCAATATCAAGCACAGTGCCAAGAACATAATAAAACATAATAAAAACTTTATTAATTCCTGTGGATTAAGAATAAACAAGTGATGAGTAACTGATGAAACCTTTATTGTCAATTGAAAGTAACCCTTGAACTTGAATACTGTGCTAAGACCAACTTTAGGTAGAATGATAAAGTAGAAGTTTAATCTCCACAGCATCTTATCTGTCGGTCTGTCTGTCTCTGTCTGTCTGTCTGTCTGTCTGTCTGTCTATCTGTCTATCTATCTATCTATCTATCTATCTATCTATCTATCTATCTATCTATCTATCTATCTATCTATCTATCTGTATCTAGAAATCTTTGTTCCAGTCAGCCAGTGAACACAGCTTAGTGTTTACTAACACCCTGAAGTTTTAGGATCTTTGAAGTTAGAGTTTGAAGGGATTTGAGTTCACCTAGTCCAATTCCTTCATTTTAGAAATGAGGAAACTGAGGGCCAAGTGAGGTTAAATGAATTGCTTAAGGTCACATAAGTAATAGGTAGCAGAGCTATAAGTTGAACTCAGGTGGAAATAGAAGCTTTTAATTTTCACAAACTGCAGTCTAAAAGTGGATTATTATTAACACCTTACAAATACATGAGAAAAGAAGTATGCAAATCTAAGACCAGTTCCACTTCCTAATACATGAGAATTAAAATAATGAGGTGCTGATTTTCAGCTGAGATGGTTTTCAATTTAAAAGGTTGGTGCTTTCACTCCTCTTTTTATATCAGTGTATGAATCCTCTGGTCTTTTTTTTTTTTAAACAATTTAAAAACTCTTGAAGAAACAGCCTTAAGGTCAGAATCAAAAAGGTACTTCATAAATCTGGTACTGCTTCATAGAGAAAAGGCATTTGGTATTGAAGAAGCATGCCCTACAAAAACCATTTTTTTTTACCTTCTGACGATCCATTAACGGTAACCTTATCTCCTCTGAACTCTACTTGAGAAGTAAATAAGCAAGAACTTGGTATTTGAAAGTAGATCTTCAAGGCAGTTGTCACATTATATCTTCTCTCAAAGATTTTCCAGAATTCTCAATGAGGAAAGAGGACGCAGTTTATAGTGTCTTCTCCCTTGCTTTACTCAAGGACTTTGTCAGTAGCAGCCCCCTTTTCCCGTTCCGTTTCGGAGCTGTGTTACCTGAATGCTCTTACAGAAAATTTGGAGGATTCTAATGTGGTGTAATGGGAATTGAGTTTACCTAAGAGCAGAAATGTGGCAAATTAGCCTAGAGGTACAGGCTATGTGGGAAAGATGTGGAGTTTATGTTTGTGGGAGTTTTAGTCAATTTTTGCTATTGTTTTAGATTTGTTACCTTATTAGATTTGCATTACAGTCAGGTAATCTCATTTGCCTCTAGAGAGAAAAATAAATACCCATTGATTAGTTCAACACATTTATTTAGTGCCCAACCTGCTATGTATAGTGGATAATGATGAGGTTGGAAAGATCCAGGATTAGGAAACTGGAACTTTTTGGGGTCTTTCTGGATGTCTTAACAAACGTTAATATAATGGCTTCATAATACTTTTCTTGGTAGAAGTAAACGGTATTATATAGCATACTACTTAAAATTCTAGTCATAAACTCTGAGTTACCATAATGAGTTTTCTACTGAAGGAAATACCTGTTGCCCAGTGTAGCAAGTCCTATTAATAGTGACAATAATTAGATGAAGACAACCTATTGAGCTAGAAAGGGGTTCTATAAGCTCAAAGGAATACCTAGTTTAAAAAAAATAGAGAATGTCAAGGAAATATAGACCATATTTGCCTCTTAAATTGAAAGGGCTTCTTAACAATGTTTAAACTCTTTCTAACCCCAGGGCTTTAGTAGAGAGAGTTCTCAAGTTATAAATATGGAAAAAAATAGACACATATATACATATACACACATGCATATGTATGTATATATGTATGTATCATATTTATAAGGGGAAGGTTCACAAGATGCAGTTAGTAATTTGTAGAAAATGATTTATAGCTACATCCCCAATATAAACTTCAGTTCTCTTCATTTTAACTATTGACTTGACTTTCCTTTTCCTTCTGATACAACCTCCTCAACCTTCTGACGAAAAACATAAAGACTTTTATTTCTTAAATGGGGGTTGATCCTAGACTAAATTGCAGAGTTAAAAAATTATTTTCACTCTCTAGTTCTCCATCCTTTGCATTTTTCTCTCTTCTTATCTTTGAGGAAGGAAAGCAACTCAAGACTAATTCACCCTCAAGGGTCAAGGACTTAGTAGCTTATAGAATACAACAAACGTTATGTAACAGCTCTGTGCAAGGCATTATGTTAAGTCTTGGAGTCACAAAGACAGAAATGAAAAACAACCCTTAATTATGAAGAACTTCTGTTGAGAGGGACAATATGTAAACACAAGCAAATATGACAATTTGATGGGGGAAGAGAACTAGGGGATCAGAATGGCTAGGGAGTGACATGGGACTGAGTCTTAATGGATGCTAAAGTAGAGATGAGAGAGTTCATTCTTAAATCAGGGGTACTGCCTTTGTAAAGGCACAGTGGAGAGATATGGAACACTGAGCTCCAGAATTAGAAAGTGGCCTGTTGAGCATGAATATAGCATGAATTCAGTACATTGTCAAAAGTGAATTCATGATTTGATGTATAAATGATAACGATGGAAAGTATAATTTTCAAACCACACTGTTACTTTTGAAAATGTAATTTTCTTATCCATTACTATACTTGGAGTTTTGATAATGGTTTTGGACTGCTCTTGTGATTTAATTGGTTATAGGGAATCAACAGGATGGAAACTTCCTCTACCATTGCAGTTCTTTGGGAGCTTTCAAATGTAAAATTCAAATGGATAGGGATAGAAATAGTAATAATAGCAATGAATATTCCTGTGGCACTATAAAATTTTCAAAGTGCTTTACATAGCTTATTTATCACACTAACCTAAACAACATCCTCCCAGTGGTATTTACATTTTAAGAGAAGATGTGAGAAGATACTAATACTTAATTCAGAGGAATAAATCTCTGATAGCATATTTTTAGGGACTGGAGTACCTTAACTGGAACTATAATCAGTCAGACAGCAAAGATTTGTTGTGTCACTATTTATTCCTTACCCAACTATAAACGCTGAGGATACAAAGAAAGACACAAAACAGCTGCTGCTTTCAAATAACTTTGTAATACAGTTGGCAACATGTAAATAACTTGAAACATATAAGATATACTGAGTAGATGGGGGAAAATCTGAGAGGAAGCAGGCTTTAGGAACTTAGATGGCCAAGGAAAAGCTTCCTACAGAAGGTGGCATTTGATCTGGGTATTGAGGAAACCAGGGAAACTTGAGAGGCAAGATGAGAAGGCAGACCATTCGAGCTATGTGTTGCAAAGGCACAGACAAGGAGATGGAGTATTGTAACAGGGACTCCCTGGTGCTCCTTGTGGAGAGGGAGAGTGGTGTGACATGCATGGTCAGACTTGTTCTGACCATGCAGCAAGGTGACACAATGGATAGAGAACCTGGCCTGGAGTCATCCTGAGTTCAGTCTGCCCCCAGATACTACCTGTGACTCTGGGCAAGTCACTTAACCTCTGTTTGCCTCAGTTTCCTCATAAAATGGAAATCATAATAGTACCTATGGCCCAGGGTTGATGTGCTAATCAGAGATAATAATTGTAAAGTGCCTGGCACATAGTAAAAGCTATACAAATACCCGTCATCATCATCATCATCATTATTATTCTTTAAAAAAATCACATTGGTAGCTGAGTGGTAGGTGGATTGAAGTGTGGAGAGATGAGGCTGGGACACTAGCCAGAAAGCCATTGCAGTAATTACCTATTACCATTCTTGGAGTTTTTAAAATGATTTTGAGACCACTCCTGTGATTTCATTGGTTATAGGGAGCCAATAGAATGGAAACTTCCTCTACTGCTGTAGCACTTGCAGAAACTTCCTCAATTCCTAGCCATTGCAATGGTATATACAAGAGGTATTGAGAGTCTGAACTAGCGTGATAAACTGTGTGAAAAGAGGGAAGGGTATGCAAATGAGAGAAGTTGTGAAGGTAGAGATGATAAAATTTGGCAATGAATTGGATATATGGGGTGAGGAAGAGTGAGGAGTGGAGGATAACCAGTATGAGTCTGAATGACTAAAAGAATAGTGAAAGTAATAGGGAAGTTCAGAAAAGAGGAGGATTTGTGGAGAAAATTAATCAGTTCTGTTTTACTCATGTTGAGTTAGCGATGGCTATGGCAGTTCTCAGTATCTAAAAGGTGGTTGTTTATATGGTACTGTATGTAGTTCAGGGTAGAGACTAGAGCTGGGATATATAGATCTCAGAATCATTTGCATGAAAAAGATAATTGAACCAATGAGAGCTGATGCTACTGTC